ATATATATATATATATAAATAAAATATAAAATAAATGTATATAGTAATAATAAATTATTATATATATATAAATAAATAACTATTAAATTCGTTGATTTATCAATTATTTATTAATTAACATTTAATTCAAATGTTATTGTGATAATTAAAATTTTCCAACCATTGTTAATTTTTCTATTATTTTTTTAATACTATTTTTTTTGTTTTTTTTGTTTTATTTATTTATCATGATATGAAGAAAGAAAAAAAGTAAGTAAAGTATCATTTTGTTGAGATGAAAGAGAATAATTGAAATGAAAAAAAAAACAAAAAACAGAAATAATTTCTTACCCATCAACCGAGCCATGATCCCTAATAATGGCAGCCGCGATATCCCTTTTGAGGCCACCATGAAACCAAGGTTGGAGAACGTGTATACCACCATCAAGACCATGAAGCCTGACCATTGCACAGCCTGATGGTGTACGTGAAAAAGGCCTCCATCTTCGTCGCCAGATTATACCTTCACTCTCGGCTATGTCCTTTGCTTCCTTTGGATCTTCAACTATCCTACCAACGCTACCAGTAAAGTCCATTGCTACACGGGATCTCACTGATTCCTGTTAAAACAAATACAAAATACATCAATTTATTATTTATCATTTTTTTTATATATATATGTTCATAATATTTCAATTAGAAAAAAAATATTTGACATATTTTATTTTATTTTATTGTATTTTATTTTATTTAATTTGTTTCAGTAGAAAATTAGGAAATTGTTTGTGAAAATTCAAGTGTATGGGTGTGCGTAGATTTATTATTAACCATTTTTTTTATTTTATTTTTTTTTATGTACGTATGTTTATAATATTTTAATTAAAAAGAAAATATTTGGTATATTTTATTTTATTTTATTTTATTTGTTTCAGTAGAAAATTAGAAAAATTGTTTGTGAAAATTCAAGTGTATGGGCGTGTGTAAATTTAGTATTAACCATTTTTTTATTTTTTTTTTTTTTTTATGTATGTAAGTTTATAATATTTTTATTAGAAATATGACGTATTTTATTTTATTATTATAATTATATTTATATATTATTATATTATTATATATTTTATTTTATTTTATTTATTGTTCAAAAGGTATCATTTTATTGTTTGTTTTTAGAGCATTAAAGTGTGAGTGTGTAAATTTATTATTAACCATTTTTTTTATTTTTTTATTTTATGTACGTACGTATGTATGTTTAAATAATTAATATTTCAATTAAAAAGAACAAAAAAATTAATATGACACATTTGATTTAATTTAATTTAATTTTATTTTTCAATAGGTGTATATCATTTTATTTGTTGTTTTAAGAATATTAAAGTGTGGGTAGGTGTTAAAAAAAAAAAAAGAAAGAAAAAAAAAACTGAAGAATAAGAAATAAAAAAAAAAAAGAACGTTTTCGAATCGTTGAATAATCTGAAAAGGTCAAAAATACATACAAACAAACGTATAAACATATACACATATAGATGGTTATCTCTCAACATAGTATGTGAACGATAAATTAACTCTCTTAAACGAGAACCCAAAAATGAGTTTGACATGGTTTTGCTGTAGGACTACTTTAGGTGGATAGAAAGATCCTCCTCCTCCTCCTTCTTCTTCTCCTCCTCCTCCTTCTTCTTCTCCTCCTCCTCCTTCTCTTTCTTTTCTTCCATTCGGTGTAAAAGAGGAAAGAAAAGAGAAGAGGTTGTTAAATCGACGAACGAATGACACGGAAGACGTTTCCTACTCTTAACTACACCTACGCTCGGATTATTCGACAAGATTCGAAAAAGTAAAAAGAAAAAGACAGAAAGAAAGAGACAGACAGACAGAAAGAGAGAGAGAGAGACAGAAAGAGAAAGAGAAAGACAGAAAGAGAGTGTGTGTAAGAGAGAGAGAGGACGGTTTGAAAACGTATTTAACGAAAACCTTATATATATATAGATGGTATATAAACAAAGAGGAAGAGAAGTTTACGAATGAGAGAGAGAGAGAGAGAGAGAGAGAGAGGGAGAGAGAGAGAGAGAGAGGGAGAGAGAGAGAGAGAGAAGAGATCTTTTCCTTTGGAAACTTATTGTAAAGGAATAAGGGGGTTCCTACTTTCTTTTACGAGCCATTGCACGTGAATACGTAATTTATTCGTCGTCTATGGTACCTTTGAGAAATAAAATAGCATATACGTAGGTTATAAGTATTAGTATGGTTCGTAAAAAGTGTTAACCAATTGTTTTTCAACGAAAATTAAAGGATTATAAATTTTATTTTATCTTTTTCTATTTTCTTCTTCTTCTTCTTATTTTCTTATTCCTTTTTTCCTTTTTTTTTTTTTTATATATATCCACTTGAGACAAATGTAATTGCATTTAATTGGTCAAGATAAAATATTTTACTTTTATCTTTATTTATTTTCTATTTTTGTTTTGTTTTGTTTTTTGTTTTTTGTTTTATTTTATTTTATTTACACACATATTTCTTGTTCGTTTTTAACAAACTTAGAGTGCTATAAACGCATATATGCGTCTGTTAAAAATTATCAGAGTGGTCTAGGACAAATATACGCATAGGTATACGTGTTTGTTAATATTCATGTAAAATAATGTAATGTTTATATTAACACTATGCACCAACGTGTAGCCACCGGTCGTTATAGTGTTAATTATTTGAATTAAACATCAGAAAGAGAGAGACTTCAATTATTAAATATAATTTATTATCATCTTTATATATATAAAGTTGTTTGTCCGCAATAGACTCCTAAACTACTGAACCGATTTTAATCAAATTTTGCACACTGTGTGCAGTTTCATTCAACTTGAAAGATAGGATAGTTTATATCTTAATTTATAATCGGTATAAGGTAATTCTTGACTTAAGTCGTGTGTATCGTACTGATTGTGAGTCACAGCAATACTTAGTCACGTCAGTCATCGGTGACTGACATTAGACTTAACGTTCAGGCCACGTCAGTCATTGGTGACTGAGATCAGAGTTTACGTTCAGGCCACGTCAGTCATCGGTGACTGACATTAGATTTTACGTTCAGGCCACGTCAGTCATCAGTGACTGACACCAGACATTACGTTTAGGCCATGTCAGTCATTTATGACTGACATCAGACTTTACGTTTAGGCCACGTCAGTCATCTATGACTGACACCAGACATTACGTTTAGGCCACGTCAGTCATCTATGACTGACAGCCTATAACATGATACACTGTTTTTATGGAATTACAGCAAATTTATTGAAAATTTACATAATTTTGACTAATTACAAAATTAATGGATTTCATTGAAATATGATAAAAATATAAAGTAACATAATAAAAGTTTCTACTACGATAAAAAACAATGGGCTCGTACAATACCCCCCAGTGCTTCTAAGCGAAACGCGTGGCCTGACGGTAACTTCCTTAAAAATGAGCGTGGCGCTCAACGTATTAATAATAAATTAATTTAATAAATTATTCCGTTCGTACAAAACATTTTAAATTAAAAGTATGTATTCACCCATTCAGAGTTAAATATTGTTTGTTTTTTTTTTTTTTTTAGATAAAAGATTGTTGAATTTCTTCCCATGTTTCTTTTGTCAAAGATAGAAATAATTTGATAGCATTTGATACAATTTGTTTTTTTTTTTTATATCTATAATTTAATGTTGACAGAAATAAAAGATTTCAAATTCCTATTACTGTAAAATCATATATATTATATCTGTAACTGAAAGCAAAGTTGAAAGATAAAAGAAGAAGAAGAAGAAGATGCAACGTTAGGGGGATGATTTTCTTTATTTTTCTATATCTCCTCTACCATTTTCTATGGATAACCACGAAGGATAAATACGACGTAACGGCAGAAGCGTTTCTGTTCGTGTTCTTCTTCCCCTTAACCCCCCTCTCCCTCCCTCCCTCCCTTCCCCTTTTCCTTGCTCCCCCCCCCATGAAACGATCATAAATTATGGTTCTGGTGTAAGCCAAGGAACGATTGCAACGACAATTTATCGGTCCTCTTCTGGCAATAACTCGTATGTGCCCCGTAGATTTTCTTATTTTCCCCGTTGCGGTACCCAACCATAGTCGTTGTCGTCGTCGTCGTTGGTTTCTTTTATGTTGGTGTGGTGTGGTATGGTATGGTATGGTATGGTGTGTTGGTGTGTTATGTTGTGATTCCATGATTGGTAGACGACTGACTGTTGTAGGACCCGTTATCATTGCTAGTTCACTGTTAGTGAAAGATACACCGTAGGTTTCTACGATCTATCATAGATTCGAAGAATTTTTCTGTATCTACACACGTACTTTTATAGACGTTTTTAATCTTATAAGATGAAGATGATTATCTATTGAGTTGTACTGTAAGATACTTGGTAAGATGTTGATTTTGTTTTGTTTGATTTGTGGTTTTTTTTTTTTTTTGATTTATTCAGGGCTACTGGAGGAGTGGTATTATTAGCTTGTTAAAAATGATTTTTAAACGATTAATATAATTATTTATATCATATGATGGGTTACATTTGAGGAATTAATTTAATATTTGAAGTATAAAGAAGTAGTATAATGAAATTTCGAGTTTCTAATGCCAATTAATAATAATAATAATGATATTAATAATTGTAGGATAATTTATAATTTAAATATATATTTATATTATATTATTAATGGTTTTATATTTGATGAGTCAATGTTATATTTGAAAGAAAGTTGAATGGTTGTTTAAAAAAAATTAGGCAATTATTTATTGACGAAATTTGTAATTAAAAGTATTAAAAAATACAAATTATTAAATTATATTTTGTAATTTATATTTTATGTAAATTAAAATTATATAAATTATATTTCGTAATTTATATTTTATGTTAATTAAAATTATATAAATTATATTTCGTAAGTAATATTTTATGTAAATTAAAATTATATAAATTATATTTTGTAATTTTTATAAATTTATATATTATGTAAATTAAATTATATAAATTATATTTCGTAATTTATAACTTTATGTAAATTAAAATTATATAAATTATATTTTGTAATTGATATTTTATGTAAATTAAAATTATATAAATTATATTTTATTAATTTATAATTCAAATAAATATTTATATTATATTATTATTGATATATTATATTAATTTTATAATTAATAATAAAATTAGAAAATTGTACATTTATATTTCGCAATTTATAAATTTATAATATTTTTTATGTAAATTAAAATTCTAAAATTATATTTTGTTATTGAAATATTTTATATAAATTAAATTTATAGAAAGTGTAAACAATATTTGTAAAAATGTACGATATTTTAATTATCATAATTATTCCTTTATTTTTTTTATTTTTAAAATGTACTTAAGAAACACATGAAAAAAAAATTATTAAAATAAAACTAAAAAATAATAATAATAATAATAATAATAGTAATTATAGAGAAACTTGGAAAAAAAGAAAAGACGTTTTACTTAAAGAAGGCGTGTGCACCTATGTATTTCACAAAGAAAATGGTGTCCCGACCTCGCCTTCATCTCGCAATACAACAACACAATTTAACAGAATAGAACAGAACAGAACTGAACAGAACAGT